CTCAACAGCCTGAAGGATTTATTCTGGTTTTCTAACAGGGAATTATTCGTATTGTACTTTTTCCGAGAAATATGCTCTGCAACTATAGTAGGTATAAAAGATCTATGCTAACTCGTGATGTAGGTTGTGAAGTAAGCTGATTCGAGAATTCTTATCTTGTTATACTTTGATATTTTGCAAGAGAATGCAAGTAAAGAGCTCTTCTAGCCCTATTTCATAGATAAGATATTTAATTCATATTATTTTCTTGTTCTATCTAATGCTGAAGGGAAACTTTTCTTTCCGAACTTCTGTAGAGCTATTAAGTTCGCTGTTTACGGAAGATCTTAGTAAATTGCTAGGTTGTTTGCCCTAGCTTGATTCTTCTATTATCTGAGAAGTATTTTCGATATTGTTTAAGTATTTATATCAATAGCTAAGAGGATATTATCCTTTGTTCATATTCCTAGTTATGATATCTAGCGTAAGTAATGAGAAATAATAAAGAGTATTATTGCTAAGTTCTTTCTTCAATGCTTAAATGCTTTATTCAGTAATATCAGAGCAGTTTAAATCGTTGCTGCTCGTAGTTATGCTAAGCATATACTCTCGCTCTTCTGTTGCTATCTGCCTATAGCGTCTAGGTTTCTAGAAGAACTATTCTGAGCCTTTCTTACTTGAGAGATATATTAAGCAGTTATTATTATAGTAGAATGTTTAGCTGAGACTTTCGTAATTAATAGAGTTCGATACTTGCTTTAAAGGAATGTTTTTGCTCAGTTGATTGGATTTCTATTGCTAAGCAATATTCACTTAGTATTCTTTCTGAACTAGTTGCTATTTGTTTTTTCAGAATTGATAGCAGTTGTATGATATATATCTCTGTTTATTATAGTTATAGCAAGTAATACTGTTTCTCTTACTGTACTATTTATTAATAGCGTTGAGTTCTATGGAATCAGCATATATAGTACTGCTTTGAGCTATACTGCTATATTAATCATTATTTTTGTATTAAAGTTTCTTGCTTATATTAGCTGAAAATCTCCAAATCTAGCTTTCTTTCTTCTTAAATCTCTTTATCTGTTGTTTGTATAGTTAGTTATTAATGCGAATTGCTTAATTGGAAAATATTGCAAAGTTTTCTAGCTAATTCTGCTTGGAGATTTCATTTTTAATATTATTCTTAAGTTTCTTATAATAATATTTCATAAGATTCTTATTCTCTCATAGAAGTTTTGCTAAGAGTTACTTAAATCTAACTGTATAAGCAGAAGCTAATTTGATCTGCTTGAGATTCATAAGTTGCTAAGCTGTAATACATTCTTTATTAAGATTGCTAAAGATTTCCTTAAGAGCTTTCTTGAAGCTTATAAAGAAATCGAATATATTCTTAATATTCTGAGTATATGTATTGGAGTTATTCTGATGCTCTAAGTGATTATATAAAGAAAGCTTATATTAGATGAAAGTATTCTTTTTGAAACGAGTTTCTGTAAGAATAGTTTTCTCAGATTCCTTAGTAAACTGAATTATATAGTATAAAAAGTATGCTCTACAGTAGATAAGAAATTCATGCAGTATCTTTTAATTGCTATTATATATAGCAAGCTTGTTTATCTTGTATATTTTTCTAGCATTACTAATGATTATAAAGATGAACTGTATCTGCTAAGCTTGTTAAGCTAGCTAAGCTTGCTGATTAGCAATGGTAGCGCTCTGAGCCTGCTGTTGATTGCGCAGATTCTGGATATGCTGGATGAGCTGGTATACCTGATTAATTAGTTCTTCCTGAGTAGAGACATGCAAGAACGAAGGAATTCTCTGAGAAGCTATTGTATTCCGTATTATTCAAGAAGATAATACTAAACTGTTCTTGAATAAGAATTATCAAAATGTAATAAGCACTGCAGTAATCCGAAGATTCCAAAGTATACAAGAGGTTTATGCTAATAAGAGCAGTACTAAGTACAAGCTTTGAATATGGAAATATAACTGAATAATTGTGCAAGTATTCACTGCTTTTGGAACTATTAGAGTAAGAGAATAATCTGATACTTAGATTAATAACTAAAGAGCTATATACTGAATCTATCTAATGGTAATGAGCGTGTGATTATATATCCGGCTCTTCAGTATGGCTTATCTTAGCTCACTACTGATTCAGGTGATCCGGGCTCACTGAATCACTTAATAATCCAGTAATTCATCTCTGTTATATTTCTAACTCTAGATTATATAATCAATGTTTAGTTAGAATGTTGGATTCTTAACACCTGGTTCTTGTTACTCATAACCTGTTTATAACCTGCATGTTGAATGAGTCATAACAGCAAGCTTATTCATCTTATATACTTTCTCAGCATTACTAATAATCATAGAGATGAACTGCACCTGCTGAGCTTGTTAAGCTAGCTAAGCCTGCTAATTAGCAATAGTAGCGCTCTGAGCTTGCTATTGGTTGCGCAGGTTCTGAATATGCTGAATGAGCTGATATACCTGATTAATCAGTTCTTTCTGAGTAGGAGCGCGCAAGAACGAAAGGGATTCTTGAGAAGCTATTGTATTCCGTATTGCTCAAGAGAGTAATACTGAACCGTTCTTAAACAAGAGTTATCAAAATGTAATGAGCACTGCAGTAATCCGAAGATTCTAAAGTATACAAGGGGTTTATGCTAATAAGAGCGGTACTAGATGTGAGCCTTGAATATGGAAACACAACTGAGTAACTGTGCAAGTATTCACTGTCTTTAAGGCTATCAGAGTAAGGGAGTAATCTGATACTTAGATTAACAACTAAAGAGCTATGTACTAAATCTATTTAATGATAATGAACGTATTCTTATATATCCAGCTCTTCAGTGTAGCTCATCTTAGCTTACTACTGATCCAGGTAATCCGGGCTCACTGGATCATCTAATGATCCAGTGATCCATCTCTGTTGTATCTCTAACTCTGGGTTATGTAATCAATGTTTAGTTAGAACGTTGGGTTCTTGACATCTGGTCCTTGTTACTCGTGACCTGTTTGTGACCTGCATGTTGGATGGGTTATAACAATTATACTGCATTTGTTTCTAATAAGCAGCAATAATTCTCTGCTGCTGCAGCTGCTATTACTTAAGCTGTTTAATATATTCCTGCAACTAAAAAAGCTGCTAAACTAGCTTATTCTAATAAATGAATAAAGAGAAGATTGCAGAAGCTATTATATTTCTATATTAATCAAGTAATTAATACTAAATTATTTCTAAATAAGAATTATCAAAATATAATAATATACATTGCAATATTCAAAGATCTGAAGTATATAAAAGATTTATATTAATAAGAGTAATATTAAAATAGAATTTACTAAATATAGAAATATAATTAAGTAATTTATATAAGTACTAATTATTTGCTTTTAGAGCTATTTAAGTATATAATAAATAAATACTTAGATTAATAACTGAAGAGCTATATTCTGATAATCTATCTAGTAGTAATAAATATATTCTTATATATCCAGCTCTTCAATTCTGAATTACTGTTTTCATGATATCCCATGAATTACTGTAGTAATCCCAGTAAGCCTGGTGAGCTGTGCTCCTGGTGATCCTGGTGATCCACTCTTGTAATTCTAATCCTTGATTATCTAATCTTCCCTTAGGCGCACTCGTGCTCTTGAGCTGTATTCCCTGTCTTCCTTGCTGGCGGGGCCTGTCCTGTGACCTGCATGCTAGATGGGTCATAACAGCCAACCTCGTTTCAAGAAAACTTCAGGGCTGATCTATGTTATGCTGTGAACGTTGTGAGATGCCCTGATCGCTTGACCAGACTTTTGAAGTCAAGCATACTGCGGTTGGAATCTCTGCAACAGCGCTCTGCATCATATTGTCTCGAGAGACTTAAAGATGAGCCTGTTATCTATAGAGGCATCAATGGTACCTATATACTGCACAACAAGAATCGCAACATCAGATTCAATAAACAACTCAGGTTGTTTCGAGAAGAGAACCTCATAGGTCAGCCGGATTCATATGCTCATCTGCGCTATGAATATCAGGATCTTATCAAGGGATCAGAAGCATACCAAAATATCGATGACGTTCTGAATCATATCAGCTCAGTTTCGCTCTCCGATCTTGTACAGGACTTTGAGGAGTATCTTCAAATATTATGCGACTTTTGCGATGATAAGCCAATTGTTCCTACCAAGGCTGGACAACCACCTGTTTCTAAGCAGGAACTTTGTTGGCAGGTTCAATTCAATGGCATGACTGTTTCTTACATACCTTCCAGAAGTCTCTTGAATCCTGAGCAGATCAGCCAAGATTCAGGATTGGAATTTCATTTACAGGACCCTCATATCTATCTATCAGGAAGAGATCAGCTCGAAGGCAGATACATCAGTGTCGATACTGCAATAGGCTTATGTCAACTCTACGAAGAGCTGGGAAGCAAGTGCTAAAGACATCTTCTTCACGATCTTCATATCATCGGCAGCCAAACGATCGAGCAGTGCCAAGGCTGCCATGGGAACTACTCCATCGACCAGAACAGAAGCTATACAGGGACTTCTGACAGTCAGGAGTATCGAATTCAGCATGAATCCCAGGTTTGACTCTCTTTGTTCATCATCCCGGAATACAAATCTAATATCTTGATAGAAAAAATCTGTTCACCGCATCGGAGGAAGCACTGCAGTACCCAGAGAGCTTACTTAGCTTCAAGATCCATGGTTTGAGTGTACTGACTGCAGCCTTCGCTGTGACTCCCGACACCGCTGCCCTGGCAAGCCTGAGATTTGCTGTGGCTGTTGCGACCAGGGTCTGGACACATGGGACGACGAAACGCTTGTGGTTTGCACTTACTGCGTTATGGAGCTTCCGTTGATTCACTTTTTACATTACAATCAGTATACGCGTGTCTGTGTAGGGTGTTCGGCACGATCTGTGGAAGCTGAAGCTACGCCATCCTCGAGTGCAGATCAAAGCTTCGAATAGGAATTATTTATACAGGTCATTTCCTTTGGTCACGCTACATCCCGTCCCTCTTTTCTAAAGCCTCGGCGAGATCCTTCCTAATCTCCTTGATAGCCAGTTTGTCACATTCGGCCGACGACACCTCGAACTGAAGCCCCTGGCCAACGACCGGTCCCTTCCAGCCACCTACTAAGCCGCCCTTAGTAAGACAGCTCTCCAGAGGCGCGCAAGCATCAAAGTCGATTAGCACAGCGCGCCCCATATCATCAAACATAATGTTGGACGGGCTGATATCGTTATGCGCGAGCCCTAGCGAATGCATATGCGCTACTGCCTCTTCGATCCCGTCCATGAAATCCTCGCACTGCTGTAAAGTGAACTCCCACGGCAGCCCGAACTGGAGGCAGTCCTCCAAGGACTTGCTATATTTCCCGAAAACCAGGCGCACAAGGCGGCCCTCTTCCTCAACACAGCCAAGATAGCTACCCAGGTTGCGATGGGGATGATGCAAGATCTTCTCGTGTATCTCAGCTTCGTTCAGCAGCCTCATAGCTAGATTGTCTCTACCAGCTCGGTGGTAGCCCAGCTTAGGCGCCTTGAAGAATCGAGTCGCATTATCGCCTTCTTGTTGCGGTCTGTACCGGGTGAGGCCTCTGGGAGGAAACTCGGGGTATATCTCATTCTTGGGGATTGGGTGAAGGAGCTTGATGAGTTCATCAAACCTAGACAGGTTCTTTTGAAGGCCATCGTTCGGCCAGTCTTGACGGTGCTCCTCAAGCGGTAGTCGCCCATACCAAGCCTTAGAGCCTTCATAGACCTCAAAGCCCAGGTACCCCCCTGTCTGCCAATTGAAATCACGAGGATCTTGCTCCTTCTCCAGGATTTGTACACTCTGTATATTGATAGATCGCAGTTCTTGGTCAACTGATGCCATGGTGGTATCGTAGCAATGGTAAAGGGATGATTGCAGATGAAGCGGAAAAGCGGGGGCGCAGTTTCCCGCTATTTGGTAAAGCTATCTACATAGTAGGTACTAGTGGTAGGCAGGTAGGGCGTGTGTCTTTAGTAAGCGGGAAGGAAGGTCAAGAGTGGCTGCGGAACCACTAGCGCCGGGCACAGGGCACTGACTGACAGGATGCTTGCAGAAGAGGGGGAGTGGGGAGGAACAGCGATGCAGTAATGCGCCCTGCAATTGTGAAAGAGCAAAAAAAGAACATACCAGACTCTTCCCTCAGCACGCTCTTCCCCTCTAAAGTTAGCTGTTATGACCCATCCAGCATGCAGGTCATGGGAAAGGCCCCGCTAACAAGGGACCAGGTGTTGCAACCCAGTGTCGAACAACAGACAGTATTACATAACCCAGAATTAGGGTTGTAATGGAGGGAGGATCAATGGATCTGCTCGAGATCCTCAGATCCTCACACCATGGATCAATGGATCTGCTCGAGATCCTCAGATCCTCACACCATGGATCAATGGATCTGCTCGAGATCCTCAGATCCTCACACCATGGATCAATGGATCTGCTCGAGATCCTCAGATCCATACTGAAGAGCTGGATATATAAGAACACGTTCATTACCACTAGATAGATCACTAGAACATAGCTCTTCAGTCGTCAATCTAAGTATTCATTTGTTACACACTTGAATAGCCCCAAAGGCGAATGATCAGCACTTGCACGGATTGCAGTTATATTTCCGTATTCAGTGGATTCTACTTTGACACCGCTCTTGTTAGCATAAACCTTTTGTGTACTACAGATCTTCGGACATTGCAGTGCGCTCATTACATTAGCGCATGAACTCCCTGTCTATCCCCCCCCCCCCCTTACATGCTCTTCCTTTGGAGATGGCACTGCTACACTGCTTCCCTCCCGCTTTTTACTATGTACTATGTATAAGCTATCCATGTACAAGAGTGGTAGGTAGTCAGGTGTCTGGTTCAGGCTTACAGAAAAAGTTTTCATTGAGTACGCTTGGGCTTCATTCAGCTGCAACCCATAAAATGCCTTCTTGTTACCGGAGAAAGCTAGGCTAAAGCAAGTTCTCATTGCTTCTTCCCACACTCAGCAAGCCTCAGAAACGAATAGCTACCATCTTAATATCTGCTTCTCGACTGCCCTCAACTCGTTTGCCCGCTACTGTTACGCTGATCAGTGATGTCAGACTCTCAAACATATATACACCCCGTGGTCGCACCTATCTATAGCTTCCAATAGTGGTATGGTCATCTTCATCGTATATTCTGATGAGCATCTAATATATTCTAGACGTTTGAGCTGCAAGAACTCGATGCTGATAAAGATAATAACAAGTTCTTTGTTGATGCTAAAACTAGCGCCCAAGCTATAGTTGGAAATAGCTAGAAGGTCTATTGGCGGAACTGTACTATTAGAATCTTCAATATAGGAGAGGAAGAGCAGCAGCCTGTTGCAAGATACGATAAAACATTCAAGGGATAAGCAGTTTTGGAAAAGAGCATCAGTTATCTGTTCGAAGATGGCTAAGTAAAGGAATATTAAGTAGTCTGGTTCTAATCATATATCTGTTGCTTGATCTCTGCTGCTTTCCATTATCTCAAAAAAATTGTAATCCTTGCCCTCTCCTTCGCTTGATTTGTTATTGCTACCGAAACGCCATCTGTACGAGTTCTCCTCTGTACTTCCTCAGCTTTGAATATAGGAGATTGACGAGCTGCTTTGTATAAGTTACTTCGAAGCTTGTTAAAGAAAGCTACCGAGCAACCACGGAGCTTAAGTGATACATCTAGCTCTACTCTAGCTCCTCCAGGATGGCAGATATACCTGACCCCGCTCTTGACTTCCACAGAGACTCCGAAATACTCAGAAGCGAACTCTGCTACCTTCTCGGGCAGGATTCCAATCTCCATCTAACAGCCAAAGTATTCCCTTATATTTCCTTTTTGAAAAATCATCGATATATCGGCTGTGAATATACCAGGGACTTTAGGATTTAGTAGTTTTGCAATCCAGTCCCAGAACTAAGTATCGAATAGTGAGCAGGCTAGTTCAGCAGGAGCTGCAATATGCACAGTATCATGGTGCTCAGCATTGTATGAGGTCGCAGTTAATAGTGCGTCCGTCTCAGTAGTACTCAAGCATTCTAGTGTTGAGTAGGATTCTTGTTCGATAGTTTCTGTAAAACGCTGCCGCTTAGCTTCATCCCTTGTGCCACCAATGTTGTGCTCAACTGCCTCAGGAGTGCCTTAATGTTCTGTTAGCTGAGAAAATTGCATATGCAACAGTATGCATACCAGGCTGCTTAGTTCTGCTATAGACATTACTGCCTGACTGCAAGGCATTGTTTACCTCTGCAGAGAACTTCTCTGCAAAAACAGAAATAGAACTGGGATCTTCTGTGTAGAGCTTGTTAAGGCACTGCTTTATCTTCTTTTAATCCTTGAATGCATGTTTAAGGTTTCCTGCTTTCACAACGTTGTGGAATTGTTGCCAGACCCGGTTATCTTTACGAAGAATGATTTTGTTAACTAAATGCGCACCAGGTAGCCTTGCGCTCTCTAGCGCTTTTTTTGAGTCCCGAGCGCGGTGCAAACGCTGCAACGCTAATTCAACTAAACAAGCAAGATCTGAAGAGCTCATTGAGATTTAATAGCAAGGCTAGAAAGGCGAGATTGGAGATAACAAGACTGGGAAAAGGTAGGTTGGGAAAAACGAAGTTGGGAAAAACGAAGTTGGGAAAAACGAAGTTGGGAAAAACGAGATTGGGAAAAACGAGATTGGGAAAAACGAGATTGGGAAAAACGAGATTGGAAAAACTGAGATTGGGAAAAACGAGATTGGGAAAACGAGATTGGAAAAACTAAGATTGGGAAAAACGAGATTGGGAAAACGAGATTGGAAAAACTAAGATTGGGAAAACGAGATTGGAAAAACTGAGATTGAGAAAAAGCAAGGTTGGAAAAGACGAGATTAGAAAAACGATATTAGAAAAAACGAGACTAGAAAAAAAGAGGTTAGGAATAACGAGATTGGGAAATAACAAGGTAGGAAATAAAACAAGGTTAGGAAAAAGTGGGTTAGCAAAAGGTGCAACACAGCCAGGGGCAAGTGATTACATGCTGACTCTTCATTGGATTGTCGGTTGACCGGCTAATAGTTGCCTGCACAGCTTCGTCTCGGACTGATCCCGAATTATTCACATTTTAGATGCAATCTAATAGATACCAGAGGAATAGGAAGAGCATTGTCGTCTATCCGTGCGGAAGCTTTACAGCTAATGCATGCGGAAGGCTGACTTTCCATTTCAGTGTGTCTGAACTGAGTAGTCTTAATAAGTTTCGTAGAGGATAGCCTTGCAAAAATCTAAATTTAAGAGCGCTACGCGCTCTTCGATAGATGGAGCAGCATAATAGAGATATACTTCTCTTAGAGCTCCAAACTTTTCTCTACTTCCTGCTATCATTATTCGTAACAAAATCCATCATATTGCCCAGTTTTAGCGTCAATATGTGCTCAACTCAGTTCTTGATTACTACACTCGCCAACTCCTGCAAATAGTCATCTATCATCAACGAAAATGGAGAGAGGCAAATGAACCGGAAAGATTGTATGCAAACAACCTGCCCATCCTCCCGCAAATACAATAAGCCTAAGAACAATAGTTCCAAGAAAAATGATTTCAAGAATAATAAGCCTAAAAAATAGATTAGTAGTAGTAGTATAGTATGCTTCGATCTCTAGCAAAACCACAGACTTGCATTCCATACTTTTACTAATTCAAGTAGTTAGCAACGATGATTTGACCTGGCTAACCTGCATGTTATGACCCATCCAACATGCAGGTTACAGAACAGGTCACGAGTAACAGGGACCAGGTGTTAAGGACTCAACGTTCTGACAAAGCATTAATTACATAACCCAGGGTTAGGGTTGTAAAGGAGGGAGGATCGTTGGGCTCGCTAGCGATCCCAACGAGCTTCACACCTTGGATCGCTAGACTCGCCAGCGATCCCAACAAGCTGTACTGAAGAGCTGAATATATAAGAACACGTTCATTACCATTAGATGGATTCAGTATATAGCTCTTCAGTTGTCAATCTAAGTATCAGATTACTCTCTACTCTGACAGCTCCAAAAGCAGTGAACACTTGCATTACTTACTGAGACTTGTACGGTTCCGTATTCAAGGACTTGGCACTTTGATACCGCTCTTGTTAGCATAAACCCCCTTTGTATACTTTGGAATCTTCGGATTGCTGCAGTATTCATTACATTTTGATAACTCTTATTCAAGAACAGTTCAGTATTACCCCTTAAGCAATACGGAATACGATAGCTCTTCCAGGAACCTCTTTATTCTTATGCGCTCCTATTCAGAAGGAACTGGTTAACTAGATATATCAGCTCATCCAGCGTATCCAGGATCTGTGCGAATAATAGCAGGCTTAAAGCACTACTATTGCTAACTAACAGGCCTAGCTAGCTCAGCAGGCTCAACAGGCGCAGTCTATCTCTACAGCTATTAGTGATGCTGGAAAAGCATACAAGATGAATAAGCTTGCTATGTATAACAGCAACCAAAAAACACTGCATGAATTCCTTACCCACTGCAGAGCGTATTTCCTGCACTATGAGATTCAGTTTATTAAGGAATCTGAGAAAGTTATTCTTGCAGGAATTCATTTCGAAAAGAATGCTCTCATTTGATACAAGCCTTCTCTATGCAATCACTTGGAGTATCAGAATAACTCCAACATGCATATTCAGAGTACTAAGAATATGTTTGATTCTTTTGAAAGCTTCGAGAAAGCTTTCAAGAAAACCTTTGATAATCCTAACAAAGAATGCATTACAGCTTAGCAGCTTATGAATCTCAAGCAGATCAAGTCAGCTTCTGCTTATACAGTTAGATTCAAGCAACTCTCAGCGCAACTCCTGTAGGAAGATAAGAATCTTATAGAGCATTATTACAAAGGATTCAAGGATGATATTAAAGATGAAATCTCTAAGCAGAATTGGCTAAAGAACTTTGCAATGTTCTCTAATCAAGCTATCCGCATTGATAACTATCTGTATGAATAACGGGTAGAGAAGTTCAAGAAAGAAGGAAGCTAAACTTGGAGATTTCCAGCTAATACGAGCAAGAAATTTCAAAACAAGAATAGCGGTTAATATAGCAGTATAGCTTAGAGCGGCACTATGCACGCTGGTTTCATGAAACTCAATGCAGCTAACAAGCAGTATAGCAAGAAGAATAATATTACTTGCTATAACTACAATAAATAAGAATATATAGCATATAACTGCTATCAATCTTGGAAAAACAAATAGCAATTAGTTTAGAAAGAATGCTAGGTAAATGTTGCTTAGCAATAGGAATTCGATTAACTAAGCAAAAATACTCCCTTGGAGCAAGTATTGAACTCTATTAATTACGGAAATCTCAGCTGGACATTCTGCTATAATAACAACTGCTTAATATATTTCTTGAATAAGAAAGGTTCAGGATGGTTTCCTCAAAAATCTAGGCGCTGCAGACAAATAGCAACAGCAGGACGGGAATGTATGCCCAGCATCCTTACAAGTAGCAACTCGGACTGCTCTGATATTGCGGAATAGAGTATCCAAGCGTTGGAAGAAGAGCTTAGCAGCAATACTCTTTAACATTTTTCATTGCTTATACTAAGCATTATGATTCGGAATATGGATAAGAAATGATATTTTCTTGGTTACTAGTACAAATATATGAATAATACTGAAAATGCTTCTCAGGCAACAGAAGAATCAAACTAGGATAGACAGCTCAACGATCTACTAGAATCTCCCGTGAATAATAAATCCAAGAAGCTTATGAGAAGATTTCTCTTCGGTATTGAATGGAATAAGGAAATAATATGGATTGAATATCTTGTTTATGGAATAGGATTAGAGGAGCTCTTTATCTGTATTCTCTTGCAGAATATCGAAGCATAAGAAAATAAGAATTCTCGGATCAGCTCACTTTACAATCTACACTATAAATTAGCATAAATCTTCTGTATCTATTATAGCTGCAGAATGCATTTCCCGAATAAGATGCAATACGAATAGTTCCCTATCAGAGAACTAGAACAAATCCTTCAGGCTGTTAAAGAAAAGAAACTCCGCTTCAGAGAAGTTCTTAACAGGCAATACTACAATGCGTATATCGAGCTATTGGATGATTGCTCTATGCAATGCATGAATAAGAAAATAGAGTGGTAGCAATGCAAAACAATGCTCTGTACAATTCACATTAACAACAAAGTTTGCGACTGGCATTAACAGAAGGAAGATTAGAAATAATAACAATACAGGCAGAAGCAAGCTAAGAGGCTTGCTCAAGAAGCAGCAAAGCAGGCTCAGAAGGACAAACAGTTCTCAACGAATTCAAAAGAACAGGATTGCTTGTAAAGGGATTGCAGATGATCAGACTGAAACAATTTCTATATAAAGCTTCTAGGATAGATTATGCTTATATTAAGTTCGATATATACATTCAAGAATATAAATATAGCGTATTATTGAATAGTGGCGCTTAGGGAAACTTTATATCTCTATATATCATTAATCAGATATAACTACAATAGAGAAGGAAGAGATATTCATATACTTTCAGTACTGTGGAAGAATAATCTGTTGCATATAACCAAGGAATAATCAATAAGGAAACTGATTATCTATCTATCTTAATCCAAGAATATATAATCAGAGCTTCCTTTGATATTACAGATACAGTACAGCATGAGCTGATTATGGAGCTTTCATAGCTTAAGAAATATAATTCTCGAATCGATTGAACTACTAGCTAGATCTTATGGGAACAAGCCATACCCAGAGAAATAGTTACAATCAACGATGCAGAACTGAAGCTAATAGTTGAAGAACACTCAGGAAAAGAAGCTTCATACAGCTTCATACATATTTCCAAGTCAGCAGGGCTAGCAGTTCAAGGAGAAGAACCTAGTAATAAGCGAACCCAAACAGTGTTAGGGCGCTAACAGGTTAGCAAAATAACGGAAGCGAGATCCTTAGCAAGTTGGTTCGCTCCGGAGCGATAAGGAAAAGCTTCAGAATGTGGAATGTAGATCTATACGGGAAAAACCTCGAAACCAGGCTTTCGAGCGCTCGGTCCGGCCTGGAGCGAACGCTTAAGGCTTTCAAAAACGTTATCAAAAACAACGAACGAAAAGAAGTACACTCAACAGTATTTACTATTCCTCCAGGTAGCAGAAATAGCACAGAGATCAGAACCAATACTCGCGAATATATTATGAGAATATTACAAGTTTAAGAAACTGTTCCAGAAAGAATTGGATATGAAATTATTAGAATATAGCTCATATAATCACGAGATCTCATTACAAGAAGGAAAATAGCTCAAATTCTTCTCTATTTACGAGCTAGATGCAGTATGATTAGAAGCACTTAGGGAGTATCTTGATGAGAATCTTAAGAAAGAATATATATAATCATTGCAATTATCAGCAGGATATCCTATTCTGTTTGTATCTAAGAAAAATAGCAAGCTTAGGCTATATATTGATTATAGGCAATTCAACAATATTACAATCAAAAACTAATATCCATTGCTATTTATTAAGGAACTACGAGATAGGTTATAAGAAGTACAGTGGTTTATAATTCTGAATCTGAAAGAAGCTTATAATCTAATTAGAGTAAAGAAAGGAGAAGAATGGAAAACTGCTTTTAGGATATGCTATGAATACTACGAATATTTGGTTATGCTCTTTGATCTAACAAATGCCTCAGCTTCGTTCCAGGAAATGATCAATCACGTTCTATGCAAGCATCTGAATCAGTTCATTATTGCCTATCTTAATAATATTCTTATTTTCTCTCGAATACTGGAAGAATACAAAAAACACATGGAAACAGTGTTGCAAACGCTTCAAGATGCAAAACTCCTTGTAAAATCTGCGAAAAGTTACTTTCATGTATAAAAAGTTAACTATCTCGGATTCACAATCGAGCTAGAATGCATTAAGCTACAGAAAGATAAGGTAGAAGCTGTTAGGAATTGGCTAGTTCCCAGGAATATTAAGAATGTTAGATCTTTTCTCGAATATATCAACTTCTATAAACAGTTTATCAAGAACTATAGCTGAATTGTATACTCTTTTACAAATCTTACTAAGAAGAATCAACTCTTTGAATGAATCTTTAAAGCATAAGAAGCTTTCAACGAAATCATTAGGCATATTACCTTAGAACTGATTCTATATAAAGCAGATCCTTACAAATCCTTTGAAATTGAAACTGATGCATTGAGATATACACTCAGGAGATAGCTTGATTAACGAGATAATCAAGAGCATTTAAGAATTATAAGCAATTTCTTGAAGAAGTTGAATAGCTTAGAAATCAATTACAGAATCCCTAATCAGAAACTCATAGCAATAGTGAAAGCTTTCAAGAAGTAGCAATATGTAATGAGCACTGCAGCAATCCGAAGATTCCTAAGTACACGAAGGAGTTTATGCTAACAAGAGCGGTGTCAAAGTATCAAGTTCTTGAATACGGAACCATATAAGTCCTAATAAGCGATGCAAGTATTCACTGCCTTTGGAGCTACTCAGTGTATGAAGATTGAATACTTAGATTTACAACTGAAGAGCTATGTACTGAATCCTTCTAATGGTAATGACCGTGTTCTTATATATCCAGCTCTTCAGTATGGATTACTGTCTGGCAGCGTCTCGCGGATCACTGCGGTAATCCGGGTGAGCTTAGTAAGCTGCGCTTCTGGTGCTTCTAGTAATCCATCCCTATCTCCTTCCTAGATTATGTAATCAATGCTTTATCAGAACGTTGGATTCTTAATATCTGGTCCTTGTTGCTCATAACCTATTTTATAATCTGCATGTTGGATGGATCATAATATCATCTCCCTCCTATCGATCATTATCCCTAACAATCTTCCGTAAGTATCCTAGCAAGTTTTCCATATATATAATCTTGCTTTTCTAATTAAGATATCGAGCAGGATTGAGAAATCTTTTTCCAAGAAAACTGAATAGCATAACTATCTTTTCCTAGCTGTTAATCAGTTTGGTTTTGAGATTATGCTTTGCACTGCTTGCGCTTCCTAGAGCCTGGTATGCAAGATGATGGATAATGCAAAGCGTTATTCTCAGTATATTCATTGTGCTCATTCTTGTGATGGCTGTGGGATTCCTGTTTCTGCTTGTAAATCCCCTTTTTCTCCTTTTCTAACCCTTTCGCTGATGCTCTTCTTCTTTCCTTAGTTTCGCGCATTATAGCAGAAGATAAGAGGCTGGAATCGAAGGAGTGGGAGGCGGAGGCAGAGTTGGAGGGGGCTTATTATCGAGCGTTGGAAGTTCTTGACGAGGCGCGCGCGAAGATCTCGGAGTCCGCTGCCCGTCTTGCTCGCCTGCGCACCCAGCGTAGATCTCTTGCCTCTCGGGGCGCTCAAATGGTAAATGCGGGCCTCGAGTTCCTTAATGAGCTGGATAAGCGGGAATGTTGTGAGGAGGAGGAATGCAATCTTGCTGCATCAGTTCGTGAAGCAGTATCGGCTGAGAGTATTTTGGCTGAGGATTCTGCTGTTGTGGCTGGGAATTCTTCTTTTGAGGGTTTTGACTGGAATTCTGTGGATCTGAGGAATTCTGTGGTTGACTGGTCGGGTTTCCTAGGGAATGAGACCTCTGAGGGCCCTGGATCTCGGTCCGGGGCGGAGCGATCGTCTTAGGTGCTGGCTTTCCTTTTCCAATATTCAGCTACCTTTTCCTGAGCGTTTTCGACATTCTTCCGTAGTTCCCATGAGTTTTCACTTGCTGGGTAACCTTTCCACTTGATGAGGTATTTCCTTGTGTTATCTGTGCCTCTGTGCTTGAGGATCTTTTCTACCTCATATTCTGATTCATTGTTTTCCACTTCTGCTGTATTATCTGTTAGTATTTTCTGTGCTGCTGATTCCAGCAGTGAGATGTGGAAAACCGGGTATATTCTCATTCTATAAGGTAATGCTAATTCGTAGTTAACCGGAGAAATCTGTTGCAAGATTTTGAATAGTTCCAACTTTTTGTAGTTGAATTTATCGCTGAGTCTGATTGTTTTGATATTTTTTTGAAGTAGGTAGGCTTTATCTCCCTTCTGTAGGATTAGTTTCTCAATCCTTTTGGAGTTTGCATATTGCATTATTCGTTCTTGAACAAATTATAATTCTGATTAGAGTTTCTCTTGAACTTTCTTGATCTTCTTAACCCTTTTATCCGCAGCTTCTGCATCTGCTCCTAGCAGTGCTTTGTAATAAGCTGTTGAGTTGTATCTATAGAGTATGAAGAATGATAACTTCTTCGTTATGCTTGTATCTGCGCTATTATAAGCGAACTGTGCGAGAAGCAACAGATTAATCCAGTTATTCTGTTCCTGATTAATATAGTATTGAAGATACTATTTGATAATCTAATTCATTCTTTCTATCTGTTTATCTGTTTGCAGATGGAATGCTATAAACATTCTGTAATATATTCCAAGCTATTTCATGAGTAAAGTTCAAAATTTCGAGTTGAACTTTCTATCTCTATTGGAGATTACTTCTTCTAGCATACTATAGTTAGCAATAATCGTTCTGAGGAACGCATATGCGAGTTCTTCTGCTATACTGCTTTTCTTATAGAGAAGAAAGTAAGTATACTTGCTCAATCTGCAAACCACTACTAAAATGCTATTGTATTGCATCTTAATTAAGGGTTCTTATAAGAAAGATAGCTTGATAATGAAGTCTAAACTGATGAATTGCTAAATAGTTATAAGTATTAGTAAGGAATGCAGTAGTCCGTAAAGCTTGTATCTTTCTGCCTTATTCTTCTTATAGCTGTTGTATTATTGTAGAATGTTCTCAATTCTTTTCCTAAGATCTGGTAGATTCTAGTGTTTTTTGATGCATTCATAAATTGCTCTAACTCCCTGATGCCCATATGCTAGTATACTGTGTATATTCTTGATATAGTTATCTTATTCGTTCGGAGTTATTAATTCTAGATTCCTTTCTGAGAATCCGATTCTAAGAGCAGCATTCAGTTCTCTATGTATGTTGATGAGATTCTCTGACTCGTTTTGAGCAAAGATGTTCTATATATCCGAAGAATCTGCATCTCGATAGTCTGATCTTCTGCTGAAAGCATCTGCTCGTTCGTTTTCTGAGCTTTTGCAGTGCACAATCTTGAAATCGAACTGTAAGAAGAATTCTGCCCATCTGACTTGTTGCTTATTCAAAACCTTAATTATTATAAATATAGTTAGATTCTTGTAATCCGAGTGAATTATAATTGAGTATTGTGCGCTGATGAGATAGTATTGCTATTCCTTGAAGGCTTTTACTATTGCTATGAGTTTCTAATCAGGGATTCCGTAGTTGATTTCCGAGCTATTCAACTTCTTTGAGAAATTGCTTACAATTCTTAGATATCCTTGATTATCTCGCTAGCTAAGTTGTTCTCCAAGTGCATATCCTGATGCATCAGTCTCAACTTCAAAGGGTTTGTAGGGGTCTGCTTCACACAGAATTGGCTCTGAGGTAACATGCCTAATGATCTTGTCGAAAGCTTCTTGCGCCTTGGGATTCCACTCGAAGAGCTGCTTCTTTTTGGTAAGATTTGTAAGAGAATGTACAATCCAGCTGTAGTTCTTAATGAACTGTTTGTAGAAGTTGATATATCTAAGGAAAAATCTAACATCCCTGATATTCCTGGGAACTGGCCAATTCCTAACAGCTTCTATCTTGTTTTTCTGTAGCTTAATGCATCCTAGCTCGATTGTGAATCCGAGATAGTTAATCTTTTGTTTATGAAAGTAACTCTTTGCGGGTTCTATAAGGAGTTTTGCATCTTAGAGCGTCTGCAGCACTGTTTCCACATATTCCTTATATTCTTCAAGTATTTGAGAGTAAATAAGGATGTTGTTAAGGTATGCAATAATGAACTGATTCAAATGCTCGTATAGAATGTAATTGATCATCTCCTGGAATGAAGCTGGGGTGTTCGTTAAGCTGAAGAGCATAACCAAATATTTGTAGTATTCATAGCGCATTCTGAAGGCAGTTTTCCATTCTTCTCCTTTCTTTACTCTGATCAGATTGTAGGCTTCTTTTAGGTTTAGAACTGTAAACTATTATGCTTCTTGCAATCTGTTTTGTAGTTTCTTGATGAGTAGCAACGGGTATCGGTTCTTGATCGTGATATCATTGAGTTGCCTGTAGTTAATACATAGCCTAAGCTTGCTGTTTTTCTTGGGTACAAACAGAATGGGATATTCTGCTGATGATTGCAATGATCATATGTATCCTTTCTTAAGATTCTCATCGAGGTACTCCCGAAGTGCTTCTAGCTATGCCTTGTCTAGTCTGTAGATAGGAAAGAATTTGGGCTGTTTCCCTTCTTGTAGCGGGATCTCGTGATTGTATAGACTGTATTCTGGCAATCCTGTATCCAATTCTTTCTGGAACAGTTTCTTAAACTTGTAATATTCTCGTAGTATATTTGCAAGTGTTGGTTCTGGTTCTTGTGCTGTTTCTGCTACCTGGAGGAATAATAGGTACTGTTGAGCGTGCTTCTTTTCGTTCGTTGTTTTTGGTAACGTTTTTGAGAGCCTTGAGCATTCGCTCCGGGCCGGACCAAGCGCTCGAGGGCCTGGTTTCGAGGTTTTTCCTGTGTGGATTCACAATCCACTTTCTGAAGCCTTTCCTTATTGCTCCGGGGCGAACCAACTTACTGAGGATCTCGCTTCCGTTATTTTGCTAACCTGTTAGCGCCCTGGCACTATTTGGGTTCGCCTGTCACTAGGTCCTTCTCCTTGAACTGCCAGCCCTGCTAACTTGGAGATATGTGTGAAGTCGTGTGAAGCCTCTTTTCCTGAGTGTTCTTCAATCACTAGCTTCGATCCTGCGCTGTTGATTATAACTATCTCTCTGGATATAGCTTGTTCTCATGAGATCTAGCTAGTAGCTCAATTGATTCGAGGATTGTGTTCTTTAAGCTATGGAAGCTCTATAATCAGCTCATGTTATGCTGTATCCGTAATATCAAAAGAAGCTCTGGTTGTGCATCCTTGGATTAAGATAGGTAGATAATCAGTCTTCTTATCGATTACTCCTTAGTTGTATGCAATAGGTTGTTCTTCCATAGTGCTGAGGGTATATGGGCATCTCTTTTATCTCTATTGTAGTTGTGCCTGATTAATGATGTATGGGAATATGAAGTTTCTCTAAGCATTACTATTCAATAGTACGCTGTACTTGTATCCTTGAATGTATATATCGAACTTAATATAAGCATAATCTGTCTTAAAAGCTCTACATAGGAACTGTTCCGGTTCAATCATCTGTAGTCTCTTTACAAGCAATCCTATCCTTTTGGGTTTATTGAGAACTGCTTATCCTTCTGAGCCTGCTTCGCTGCTTCTTGAGCAAGCTTCTTAGCTTGTTTTTGCCTGTATTATTATTATTCCTAGTCTTTCTTCTATTAATACTAGTTGCGAACTTTATTATTAATGTAAATCATGCAAAGTATCATTTTGTACTGCTATCATTTTATCTTCTTGTTTATACATTGCATAAGGCAATCATCCGATAGCCCGATATACGCATTATAATGTTGTCTATTAAGAACCTCCCTGAAGCGGAGTTCCTATTCTTTAACAGCCTAAAGGATTTGCTCTAATTCTCTAACAGAGAACCATTCGTGCTATATCTTGTTCGAGAAATGCATTCTGCAGCTATGATAGATGCAGGAGATCCAAGCTAATTCGTAATGTAGGTTGTAAAATGAGCTGATCCGAGAGTTCTCATCTTCTTATATCTCGATATTCTGCAAGGGAATGCAGGTAAAGAGCTCCTCTAATTCCATCCCATAAACGAGATACTCAATCCATGTTGTTTCCTTGTTCCACTCAATGCTGAAGAGGAACTTTCCTTTAGGCTTGTTGGGTATATTATTCGCGGGAAGCTTCTGCAAGCTGCTAGGTTATTTGCTCTAGCTTAATCTTTCTGTTGCTTAAGAAGCGTTCTCTATATCGCTTAGATATTTATACCAGTAGCCAAGAGGATACCATTCCTTATTCATATCTCTAGTCATAGTGCTTAGCGTAAGCAATGAAGAACGTTAAAGGGTATTGTTGCTAAGCTTTTCTTCCAACGCCTGAATGCTCTATTTCACGATATCAGAGCAGTCCGAGTTGCTACTCGTGAGGGTGCTGGGCGTGCACCCTCGTTCTGCTGTTGCTATTTATCTGCAGCGCCTAGGTTTCTGAGGGAACTATTCTGAACCTTTCTTACTTGAGAGGTGTATTAAGCAG